CACGACCACGACCACGACCAACCACCACCACCATCATCACCACCATCATCATCATCATCATAATCACCGCCATCACCACAATCGCCATCATAACCATTATCACCATCATCGCTATCATCACCATAATCGTAATCATCCTCCCGCATCTTGCCGCCGCACCGCCACCCCACCACCAACGCCACTACGGTCACCTACCAGCACCAGCACCTAGCATCACCCCTACCATCATTGCCCTCATCGCCCTCACCACCGTCATCACCATCCATGCTGACCATAAACATGATAATAATCACAATCGTGCTCTTTCATTCATCATCATCATCATCATCGTCATCTTTGTCTCCATCTTCATCTCCGTCTTCATTTCCATGTTCATCTTCATCTTCGTTTTCATCTTCGCCTTATTCATCATCTGCATCTTCTTAGCTTTGGTCGTCATCACCTGCGTCATGTCGCCATCATCATCGTCATTACAATCGTTGCAACTATCTCCATTTTCATCATCGTTAGCATTATCGAAATGGCCCAGGTGAGCAATGCCGTGTTTATCGGAGTCGACGTGCAGCACACCATCTCTCACCCAGGGCCAAGACCTTTGAGCTACAGGGTGACCCAGTACATCTACACAGCTTTGCTACCGGCTCGCTCTTAGCAGGGTTTTATGCATCATACTGTTGCTACTCTTTCTCTCGTCGCTGAATTAGAGTGTGACGGGGCCTTGGCTTAGATGTCCGAACAGTGTTGTTGCTTTCGAAGGTTCCTCTTCGAGCTTGTCGTTCGGGTGGGTGCCCAGAAGTGGACGTATTGCAGCGCAGAAGACTGGCAATGGAAGTGCTTGGACGTCTTTGTGGTGCTTACCTCGCTGTGGGAGGTCGCGGTTGACGTTATGACCGCAATCTTCGAAGGGCCCCGCGGCCTTGTTGGGACCTCGCTTGCCTTGCCAATCTACCGACCGCCTTACCTGTCATCCGAACTGCTTTCAGGTTCAATCTCTTCCTATCAGACCGAAGGCAGCAGATCACATGGACCCCAGATGTTGTGACGTGCAGCCGAGGCAGCAGAGCATTGAGGCCATCCAGGGATTGAGAAACCTCAAGTCCTTCAGAGCCTTGCTCGATGATTACAGGGGTGAAACCGTTAAACCTATACCCAACAGCACAGCATCCCGACCCCTGCCCGCGATGAGGAATCATCCGGCTCACGCGCCTTCTCCGAGCCGTACAGTTTGTACGGATCTTTCGCTTCGTGATGGCCTTGCGCATGCTGGTGGATTCGATTTTCTCAACCTTGAAATCGTTGCTGCATGGCTGCTATGCAGCTGTTGTTCTTGTTATACTCTCTGGTAGTTTCAGTACTCTTGAAGCCAATCTCCCTATGCACAAGTCTAATTCTGTCTGAGATTTCCGTGGCTGGCATCGTTCTTCATAGGCCATAGCCTGTGTTCAGAATTTTGGTTGTAGCTCGCCGACCCAAAAGAATGCTCGCGACTCCGCCACCTTCCGGTTCACAGTTTGCGGAACAAAATATTAGAGTTATCTTCAACATACCTTAAGGGCTTAGGTTGGGCATGTAGAGATCGATTCGTTCAGGCTCCCCTCTTCGCCCCGTCGGCTCCGATTGCATCAAGTTACTTCAAACGACCCCAAAACTGCGACAGCTCTAAATGTGAGCCTTTCCCTTCGGTACAGATGAGTCTCTACCTTAAATCTAGGTTCCTCATCCTGGACCTGTCGGCCGCAACGAAGCCCTGCGTGGAACACGGTAGCCCTACACCTTAGACTCTAAACCCTATTCCCTCCTTCCTGCCCTGAAGCCAATCGCAAGCAATCCTAAGCTCACCCAGCCCTAATTCTCGGTTCCGTAAAGACGAGTGTGGGATGCCCCAAAGGCCCAAAGGCCTAAACTCTACGTCCTAAAGCTTACAACCGCTTCAGGCCGGAAGTCCCAACTCATGTGGAGCTTACTAACCCGAAACCCTAAACCCTAAAACCCAAAACCCTGAACCCTAAACCCTAAACCCTAAACCCTAAATCCTAAAACCCTAAACCCTACACCCTAAACCCTAAACCCTTAAAGCTTGCTGTCCAACTCAGGTTTTGGGCCCTGATCCTGCTGTGCCTGGTGATCTATGCTTGGTCCTAAGTGGTCGGTGCTTCGGGGTTACACGCGTCCATGCCGCATGGGCCTGAATGAGTTGAGCTCAGCTCAAGAGCGGACTATACCTAAACCCTAAACACTAAACCCTAAACCCTAAACCCTAAACCCTAAACCCTAAACCCTAAACCCTAAACCCTAGACCCTAGACCCTAAACCCTAAACCCTAAACCAAGGGAGTCCGATCTTGGCAGAGCCTTTGTCCGTTCTGGGCCTTGGGGTCCTGAAGCAAGAGCACCCTTCTTGCTTGAGAAGTTTTGGTGACATCATCCCTATCTTGAAGCTCTGCCCTTAAACCTCAACCCTAAACCCTAAACCCTAAACCCTAAACCCTAAACCTCAATCCTAAACCCTTCTTGAAGTCCCGAGCTTTGTTTCTACTTGTGGCTTCTTCGGCCCAGTACCTGCTCCTCAAAGGCTCAGAGCCCGAGCACAGAAGCCTTGACCAGGAATTGCAGTGATTTCGGGCATAGGGTTGTTCGGTAGGAGTAAGAAGTTGGGGTTCAGGGTTTGAGGGAAAAGTTTTAGATTTCGCGTTTGGGATCCTCTAACACTGCCCGCAGCAAGGTCTTTGCGGTGATGTTCGCCGATGCTGTCAACGACTACAACAACGACTTGCTCGTGGAGCAGCTGAGTGCTAAGGAGATGCATCCCCCTTTACCCAGACCTTTTGGGAGGATCCACAAAGTAGGTCCTTTAAAGGAACTCCTATAATTACACCTTACAATAGTAGTACCCAAATGGGGGGATCTACTTTTTTGATCCGGGGATCCGGCTAACTTCAGGCCCCAACACTGCACGTGGGATCCCAGTGGATCCGTCCAAGCGCCCAACGAATGAGCCTAAGTCTTGCAGTCCACCCTGTTCTAGCAGGCCTCTTGACGGGAACCCTCAAACCCCAAGTAGCCCCCAGAACTCGACATCTAAATCCATCCTGGGAGCCCGCAACAGACAACTTGGGCTGGCACCACCAGAAAAGGAAGAATTCTCGTGGTTTACCCCAAAGCATTGCAAAGCCCAAAGGCCCAAGCTTCGTCTTTGTCCCTTGGCTGTAGAAACTTCCGACTTCAAGCCATTCAATCTTAGATAAATACATCGTATGTCGGGCTTATACATACAACTTTCAACGTAAGCTCTAAACCCTAAGCCCTACATCCCTACCCCGAGGGTTCAGAACATGTGAAGCTCCGAAGCACAGGACTTCGAAGCCACGCAGCTTTACTGGGCCTCCTTGCCAGCACCTAGGCTCTAAAACTTGCTCGAAGCCATGAACTTCCCTTTGAACTCCCCGTCTAATGTCGGGGCCTGAAGAAACAGAGTGCTATTCCATAGGGCCCCTGAATACAAGTATACCACAATATCCCCAGAATCCTATTCTAACTACAATGCCCCCTTGTTGGAACCTCCGAAGATGGAAGCTCCAGCTCGCACGCCTCAAGGGGTTTAGATGAGTCAGGGTTCCCTTGATTTGGGCCCTGTGGGGCTCTGTCATAGGGGGGCTTGGGTATTTAGCATTCCTTAGTGTTCCCTTTTCTTTGGGAACTGTAGTAGAACCCTAAATCCTACTGGTATTGGTAAGGCCTCTGTAGTGGGCTTGCGGGGTTTAGGGATTTTGAGGTTGGACGATCGAACGTCGTTCGGCGAAAGCCTGTGGTTTCACAGTTTCTGCTGATGCGCCCGCCCACCCACAATTCCTTCAGACATCTATCTGCTTGACAAGCGCAGCAGCAACCATGTTTCATGATGCTGCACAATCATCGCCCTTAAACCTTCGTCCTCGATCCTCTAGCTCCGAAGTCTAAATCATTCTAAATCTCTCATTCGGCCCTCTTTCGTCTTTGCTTGTGGTCCAAGGACAGCATGCTGACGCTCTTCATGAGCTGCTCGGCCTTCCCTGTCACCCTGAGCCCTCCAACTGTCTAGTGAACCGAGGAGCCAAGCTCTCGGATTTAGGGTTTAGGGTTTAGGGTTTAGGGATTTCGGATTTCGGGTTTCGGATTTAGGGTTTAGGGTTTAGGGTTTAGGGATTTCGGATTTGGGGTTCAGGGCTGAGGGTGTGTTGCCGAGGAAGCGGGGGTGCGGGGCAGTGTAGGGCTCAGAGTGCAGAAGCCCGAGGCATCACCGGCGGCGTCAGCTGGGTGGAGGTACTCAGACCTTTGCAGGCGAACCCTGGCTCTCTCTGGGTGTAGAGTCGGGCGATATACCCGAAACCTAACACCCCAAACTCTTCAAGACTTTAAGACCTAAACCATAAAACCCCACAGCCAAACCCTAAAACCTTTAAGACCTTAAGCCTTCTAAATCTAAAGCCCCCGAAACAGCTCTTGCTTTAGCCTCGAACCGACAAGCCCGAGGCTCTCCAGCTTTTCTTGGGCTCCCAACTCTGCAGGGAGACGACTTTAAGGTTTAGGGTACTCTAAACCTTCAGACCCTAAACCCTAAACCCTTAAACCTCCAGACCCTAGGCCCTGAACCCCTAAACCCTAAACCCTAAACCCGAAACCCCGAAACCCTAAACCCTGAACCCTGAACCCGGAACCCTAAACTTAGGGGCTCAGGAAGTTGGCCTTTTGGGCTGAACGGTGTGGGGGAAGCATCGAAATTTCGAGGAGGGCCTTGGGGTGTAGCGTTTGCCATGAGGAAACAGGAAGTCTCACAGAGCCCCCTTTCGTTCGAAGGATAATTCAGTTTGCTTCTGCACAATTAGTTTTTTGGCCCTCTTCTTTTGGCGGAAAAGTTGGGTTTTGGGGTTGGTGGGATAGCTCAGGATCTCGATATTCTGGTCCTACTGTTTCCTGCCCCTTGGCGTGAAAGCTGGGATGTCCCCACCCTTCAACCCTAAATCAATTAAATTCCCAACCCCTACCGCTAAACTCCAAAGCCTAAGTCCAGCCCCCCAAGAATTTAGAGGCTAAGCTTTGGACCGCACATTTTCTCGAAAGCACCATTGATTTTGGCTTAGGGTTTATCTGATTGGAGATGCTCTGGAGTTGCGTCTTTGCTTCCCATCCGCAGCTTCTGACACGAGCACCTCTGGCCTAGTCCTCCAAGTACCGAGACAATTGCTCCCTGTGGCCCACTTCGCAGCCTGTCTCGATTTTGGAGTTGAATGCTGTTTGGAGAGCTTTGTGTTGTTTCGGATTCCAGAGTAGCACTATATATCAAAATTAGTGTTTCAAAGGCCCAGGAGATTTATGTCTTTCCCTGAACCCTACACCCGTACCCCAAACCCGAAGCCATAAACCCTAAATCCTCAACCCCACCCTCGAAATCAGGACCGTTCATGCAGTGTCCAGGGCGGTGATTTTCCCGGGGCCAGCAGATAGTACAGCCCCGCTGTCCAGCGTGGCCCATGGTGACTAATTAGCCACTATCATATTTATAACACACTAGAACATAATCTACTATAACAAATGTATAATATAATGTGCTGTATTGTCATGTACTATAATATAGTATATTACAGTATAGTACAACATAAAACATCGTATGTCATGATATCAAACAGTGTATTGTACTATAGCGGAACATGTCATGGCAGGATATAATATAAACATACCGCAACATATAGTCATATGTATCAACAACCTTCATGTACTCTGCGGCGATAGGTTTTCTGTATCGTATAATAAATCCAGGCCCCAGCCTCCGGCCCCCAGCTCCAGCCCCGCCAATTATTTTTTCAAGTCCTCAAATTTTCTCTAATTGGTCAGCCAGTTAAATTTAAAAATGTTAACAGTCATAGAAAACCATTAAAATCTTTCAAGTTCTTAACGTTTATTTGGCCACTCAATTACATTTTAAAAGCCACTGGGTCAAGGCAGTGAGCAGAGGTAGTTCAAAGCCATGGCAATGACAGATACAGTTGATGGGAAAAGGCAGAGCTTGTATACTTTATCACCCCATAGAGATCACAATCGCAGCACAGCCGAAGAGCCCGATTTGGATCAGCCGAACTTCTCTACAGCGGGTGAGGCCATTCAGATTAGGGACCTCATGAATGACATCAAAGACTTGTCGGACGATGTGTGTCAACAGTCTCAAACACGCTGGCTTTTACATCAGACTGCCGAGAGGCAACGCCAAGAGAGCGTCACGAAGTTTTCCGTGAAGAACTTGTGGAAGTATACCTTGAACAACAATGCAGATTTCGAGCTCATGGAGTTGCACCGCATGAGCTAGTGGACCACTACTGTAAGGAACGGGACTACCCGAGTACAAGCTGAAGCTTTTCCGCTTCAGCAACTTCATGGGAAAAACCTGTCACCTTTTTGCGTCGTTGACTGTCAAGATGCCCGCACCAGATCGCAAATCCTGGACCATATGAAACAATCGCAAAATGGCAAGGTGAAGGAAGGAGTGGACTGGGCAGAATACGCAGGAGAAAATCAATGCACTCCAGACGGATCGACAGAACAAGTCTGGCATCAACGGTCTGTTGGTGTGGGAGCCTCTCATATCAACATTTGACAAGCTTCAGTCTATGCCTCTGAACATCGCTATGAGTGCTATCTCCGAGTTACGCCCGGATTTGACGTGGAAGAAATACTGGCAGCAGCACGCCATTTACACAGCGGGAATGCGGGAATGCTCTGGATCAGTTGGACGGCAAAGCGGTCATCTACTTCAACGAAGAGTTGTTCTCAGAAAGGGCCTTCAAGGATGCCATCACCAAGTACGAGTTTGAGATCACAGCCAAGAAAGGATGGGGAAAGGGTAAAGCCAAGACGTTGAACGCAGCAAGGGATGTATCCAGAGACGAAGCCATAGATCCGCAGGGCTCTTTTATGGAGCAGATAGGCATGGGCCACGGGAGAAACTGCGAAGGGGTCAAGAACGGATACACAATGGCCATGGACAGAGCAATACAAGTCTTCCTTTCTGCTTGAAAGTACGCCCGTTGGCGCCTCCTGAGTTCGGAAAGACCTACCAAGAGAATCTGTACAAAATGGTTACCCGCTGGAGTTGACGTGATGTCGCTCCTGGGTCTCAGTGCTTTTTCGCAGCCAGTGTTTGGGAATAGGTAACCCCAAACTCGCCTTAAAATCCAAAGCCGAAGCCAAGACCAAAAAATCCGAAGCCTACCCTAAAGCCCTTCGTCCTTCCAACGCCCACAAAAGTAGTTGTAAGCACATAAAGCTATGGGATCCCTTTACAAATACATTGTATCACGAAAAGCATGTCTCGAGACATCACTGTGCGTATGCTTGGGTGCCAACGAATACTTCATCGAATATGTCATCGAATAGGGAAAAGACACAAGAAAAAGAGTTGGACGTTAAAAACCTCACAGAAATAGAACTATACAACTTAGACGCAGAAAAGTTCGGAGTCGGAATTGTTTAGTCCAGTAGACTGAGTGCCCACAAGTGTGACATGAGACAAATTAACAACCGAATTATGCTAGTTAGGTTTGATACCTTCCCCCTTCGCATGAATGCAATAGTTGCATACGCGCCTCATGCTGGAAAGAGTAAAATCGAAAAACTGAAATTCTACAAGGAACTCAACGATGTCTTTGACAGCATCCCGAGCCACGAAATCAATATAATTCTAGGCGACTTTAATGCCAGACTCATGGAACAGCTTCCTCATGAGATTGATATATTTGGGCCATGCATTTTTAGAGAAGATAATTGTACCATAGAGCAACTCTCCGAGCACCAGCAGGAAAACAGACAATACTTTGCGGAACTATGTCAGGAAAGACGCCTTGGAGTTATGGACACCATGTTCCAGAAAGATAGTGCCAGATTAATAACATATAAAAATACGACAACACCGAATTTTGCAACTCCTTACACGACAGATCGATATGCTCAAATGGATTACGTCTGTATCAGTCAGCCTTGGACAAATTCCATTACAAATGCTGAAACGACCCTGCAACATTCCATCACATCCGACCACAAACTTTAAGTATCAAGCCTGACCACGAAATTGGTTCGGAAGGAAAAAAGATTCAGGATAAGCCATCGTCCACCAAGTAATGAACAATTACGAAAGTACAACCAACTTGTCTCAGCAGCCTTTGAGGATCAACAAGTTTCCGCAAGCGAAGATCCTTTTGAGATATGGGCAAGCATTTTACAAGATGCCGCAGCCAAATCATTTACGCCAGTGCCAGCGAACCAAAGAAATTCTTATATTTCTGATGACACATGGAAGCTCTTCTGTGATAAACAGGACAAAACACAACGAGGTTTAACAGTTAAACACGTGAGGCAAACGAAGCCGAAAAAACATTGCGTAAACACGTGCGCCAAGATAAACGGAAACACATGATAGAACAGCTAAAGGCTATGGATGAACAAGGTTACAAATGGAAAGGCATAAAGTACCTCCGGAAGAAATTTGAGCCCAAGCATTGCGAATTCAAAAGTAGCTCAGGCAACTACATCCCTGAATCGCGATTCCCAACCAAGGCAGCAGAATATCTTGCAGAAGTTCAATGGAAAGCACCAGAGGGAAACTATGCTCCCCATACACAAACACTATCCCACGTAGGACGTAGGTGAAAACATCAAAGATACGGATTGGGATCTGAACGAGGACCATACAGAACTGCCGCAGAGCTTTTAGAGTGGTTAAACGACAACAATCGGACGAAGCTACTAACTCGCTACAATGATATTTTAGTGGGTGGAAAATATTTTCGTTCGCTAAACTATGCAAACATCAAACTTGAAAACTATCGACCAATAGCATTGTTGTAGACTTTCTACAAAGTTCTGGCTGCACTGAGTAAGCTACATATAGCTGATGTAATCGACCCATGGATTTCTAAAACACAATTCGGTTTTCGGATCAAGAAGTCGACGGCTCAAGACATTTTCATAGCCAGACGACCAATGGATATGGCAGAAAGACAGGCACAAATATGTCATTCGTATTCCTAGATTGGCAGAAAGCATTTGACAAAGTGGACCAACAGTGGCTCATTGAAGTTCTGCAGCGTGTGCCATCAAATATCCTACAAACAATCAGCAGCATGTACAAAGAAGCGCAATTTCCAGTTGTTAAAGGTGAAAACAAATCTGAATACAAAGCTCAAAAATCCGGAATAAGACAAGGTTGTCCACTTTATCCTTATCTATTTTGTGTGTGCTGCTGTCTGCTATCTTTCAGGACATTAAATGTGAGCTTAACACGCCAAAAAGAAAGAACCTACACAAGGACTTCAATACGCTGAAGTTATGTACGCTGATGATACGCTGATTTTTGGCACGCGCTCTCATACTATTAACAAACTTCAACATTTGATACAAGCCGAATCGCAAAGATACAATCTTCGGCAAAATGTAGAGAAGTGTGTCAACTTAACCATCAACCAGCATCAATCATCTGTGAAATTCCTTGACGGTTCGTACGTGGAGATGTTTATAGTAGAGTTAGAGACCTGGGACATGGGTTTTGCAGCGTCTGCCGTGCGCACGTCGACCGGCTGATTTGCATGCAGCATGACAAACACGTATCATCTGGGACGCTTGCGAGTAGCCCAAGGGAATTCATTATGTAGTCAGCGTGGTGATGCAGGAGCACGGGAGAGTCTAACCAAGGCATGGGCAGCCAAACTTTGGCAAAAGATACTGCCCATGCTTCACAAGACAGTCCGCACAGCGTTTTCTATTCAGTGCATGCCAGGTGTCGGGGTCTTGATTAGATCATGTACATGAGCAGTGTGCCGTCCGACTTTTTGCGGTTTCCTTGGTTCTTGAACATTTTACAGCCGGAGCCTCAGCAGCAGCCAATTTGCAGCCGTCGTCACGACATGGCCGTCGCAGGCGAAACGTTGCC